CACTACACACACACACACACACACACATATATATATATATATATATATATATATATATATATATATATACCTATATGTGTGTGTGGTCCACGTATAGTTGTAAGTCATACACGATGACTCATGTGTACGAGGGGTTAGTTCTGGGCTGACCTATCAGTGTTGTGTGCTATGTGATATTTGTTATACACATACAAGTAATTTGGTATGTGTTCACCAATAGAATATGAGTATAAACTGTGGTGTAGTGTGTAAAGTAGTGTAAAATAATAGATGATGAGTGACGTACTGCAGAGAAGACCGGGCACTCGGGATACACGAGATGTTGTGTTAGTAGCTAGAGAGGACTGACGGTAGACAATATGTCGACTATGACTATATAGGTGGAGGTTATGATGTGATCTGTTGTAAGCTTTAACACTACTCTGAAGTACAACACTGTTCTACAATATATATATATATGTATATATATATATGTATATATATATATATATATATATAGTACTTTACAAGTACTACATCTTTGTTTTCAGTATTGAATCCTTTATAATGTTACTATTCTGATAATACTGTTGTAGAGACTATTATGCGGCTGCGGAAACAACAACAAAGAAATTCGAGCGGAAACTGGCCAAAGAAAGGAGGAAGCGCGAACGCGTCGAACAAACACTCTCTGACTTGGCACGGCAACATAGACGTTTGGAGACCAAAGTATCGCACATAGGTGAGATTATATATATATATATATATAAATATACATATACTGACATGTATATATATATATATACTATGACACAATTTTAAATCATATGACAACCACATACAGGCGGATTAGACCGCACAGACTCCACACCCACTTTCCAACCGGGCGATGAGAGTGACGACGAGTTCTACGATGTGGAGAATGATGAGTGGGTGGATGAGTATGAAGACAACGCCGAGTGTTCGCGCAAGCCTTCAGACGAGCCGCAACAAGTGGTCAAGGGGAGTATGACTGTGCCGAAGTTCATGACGCACTACCGGAATAAGATACCGTACAGGCTCAACAAGAAGATTAACTTCTGGTGTGTGAGTGTGTGTGAGATGGCTGTGGTGAAACATCGTGGGCTTATTTAAGTGTGTGATCGATCCGATACCCTAAACCCTAAAACAAGACGTTACGGGTTTAATGTTGCCATGGTAACACCCTAAGATACCGTGCAGGCTCAACGTGAAGATTTACTTCTGGCGTGTAAGAGTGTGTGGTGGTGTGAGTTGTTGTGATGAAGTCGTTGAGCTCGTTGTGTGTGCTATGAGTCCGCTACCCTATACCCTAAAATAAGCAAAAACGGGTCTACCGTTGCTATGGCAACACCCCTGGTCCATACATATCACATGACAGGAATAATAACCCATGCTGGTTGCCCTGACCGTGAATCACTATCTGCGTGGGATTTGTGAGTATATTCTAGTCTGCTTATGTTTACTACAGTTAGTGTGATCATCTAGTCTTGCAAGGGTAATTGTAGTTACCAGTAGGCATGGGAGTTGGATATAGGCTGTGTAGATGTTTAGAGGTAGATAGGTAAGTATACTGTTACGGTTCTTTGTGGTGGTATTGTCTCGAGTGCATACTTGCATGCATGCGTGTAGTTAGTTGACACATACACCTACAACCACAACACCTACACCTACAACCA